CGCGTCCGGCCCTCCCGGAACCCCTGGCGCTGCGGTCTGCGCCCGGCTTAGCAAAATTGCCGTGTGGGGATCTGGGCTTTGTGAGTGAGTTAGACTCCGTTTGACTCACTTACTAATTTACGTTGGAGCACAAATTGGTGTAAGACGGTAATTATTTCGGTCGGAAGCACCGGCTTGGCTGGGTGTTTTTTTGCGCGTCGGCGCTTGGGCCTGGCGGTGCGGCCGCCCCAGTTACATTTGGTGTGTCCATTGTGGTCTGCAGAATTTGGGGACCTAGGGGTGGGAGGAAGAGGGTCTTGAGAAGCAGCCCGTTTGTTTTATTTTTTTCTTCTCCATTTGCGTTTGCGTTTTAATAATTTATACGCAGGCTTCCACTGCGTACATTTAAATAAATGACTTAACCTTGTGTTGCCGGTGCTCGCAGTAGGTCCTTTTGCTGCGGTGAAGTTTGCATTCTCTGTGGAAGTTGTGTTTGTATTGTGTGTGGAGCTCCCCCTTATACAGTAAGCCCGGGACCCAGCAGACGCAGAAAAGCAGCTCCTTTTAACCCCCGCCTGGCCTTTGCCGGCTCAGAGGCCTGGCTTCTGATCCTCCGCTTACTGGGTGATGGGGCCACTTTTCACCTTAGGATGGTGGTGATGTTCCAGGTGACTGTGTGTCACAGGACTAAGGGACATAGAAAGACTATAGTGTGTGCTTCCCCAGGGCCCAGTGCAAGATGAAAGACTTTGTGTTTTCATCCTGGCCTAGGAGATAATACAGTAGATTGGTGGCCTTTTGCTGAACACCGCTAACGCAGTGCTTTCTGGAAACCTCAGTAGAGGGGTGACATAAAAATATCTAACTGGGGGGGTCTCGGGCTTGTGTGGCTGTGCACACTCTCTCCCCCTCGCTGGGCTGCAGTCCTGGGAACTGCTCAGGCCGGGAGGGGCGCTGTGGTTATTTTGATGAAATGCAAACCCCACTTTGAATACCAGCCAATGGTTAGATGTGAGAGCCAAGACCCTCTCTTCTCCCTCAGGGTGCTTGTACGCCCGTGGGGGCATTTGTCTGATGGCGTCTTCTGGTGGAAGTGTTTCATTCATCAGCGAAGGTTTTACCACCGGCTTGGCTTCTTGTATTGGAAGAGGAAAGTAAACAAGCCCGTGGGTCCCCAGGCAGATGAGTCAGCTGCATCCTAGAATCTGTTATTTCCAGCGACTGGCCCTCGTTTCTTGGGTGGCCCTGCCGGAGGTGGGGTTTCTCCACTTGAGGCGGGTCACCTAGGATCTTGCATAGCCTGGCTGAAAAGTGTTTTGTCCTTTAACTGGAAGCCTTTCCTGCCCTGCCCTAACCAGGCAGGTGGTGGCATGTCCAGGTCAGCATCGCCTGGCAGGAAGCATTCACCGCCTGCATCTGCCGCACGGAGCAGTCTGCAGCTCTGTCTTTGCAGCAGAGGTTGAGTTCTCCAATTGAGAAGAGGCTCAAACCCTTGCTCTTGGCCAAGAAAATTCTGGCTGAATTTACTGGATTCAGCTTGAGCTTCTCCTTGGGATTTGTGTCTCTCGTGCTGCAGTGCAGCTCCAGGGGTGGGGAACCTTTCTCCTGCCAAGGGCCATGTGGATATTTATAACATCATTCCAGAGCCATACAAAATTATCAACTTAAAAAGTAGCCTGCTATATTTGGTCAAACATTTAATTAACTCACCCCTAATGCCTTGGCAGGGCCAGACCAAATGATACATGGCCCACAGGCCAGACATTCCCCACCCCTGAGCTAGACCTTCAAATATGTTTACTTATGATTGACAGGTTGTCCTCATTGCCTTTTAAAAATATTTATTTATTTATTTGTTTGTTTGTTTGTTTGTTTTTTGTTAATCCTCACCTTAGGATAGTTTCCCTTTAATTTTTAGAGAGAGTGGAAGGGAGAGAGACAGAGAGAAACATCGATGTGTAAGAGAGACACATTGATTGTTTGCCTTCCACTCGTACCCCGATCGGGGCCAAAGATTGAGCCTGCAATCGAGGTACATGCCCTTGACCAGGAATTGAACCCTCAGCCCTTCAGTCCTCAGACCTTATTGCCTTTATTTTAAAAATTTTTTTTGTTGATTTCAGAGAGGAAGGGAGAAGGAGAGAGGGATAGAACATCAATGATGAGAGAGAATCATTGATCGGCTACCTGCTGCATGCCCCCCACCTGCATGCGGGGATTGAACCCGCAACCGGGGCATGTGCTCTCACGGGAATAGAACCATGACCTCCTGGTTCACAGGTCCACGCTCAGCTATTGAGCCACACTGGCCGGGCCTCATTGCCTTTTCGATGAGCTGCCTCCCATCCCCACCCTGCTATTTGCAAGCTCTTCCCTAGTAGGAAATAGGATTTTCCTGGGTGCAGCCCCAGCCCTGTATTCCTCTGGGCTAAGTCTTTACTCGCCTGTTTGAAGGGCAGCACCTCTCACTCCTGCCAAGGGTGCCTGGGTGCTGGGCTGCAGCCCCCTCAGGAGCTTCCCACATACAATCTAAAATTGGCCCCGTACGTGGAGGGTAGGGAGAGACTGGAGGAAAAAGGTAGACCACTGCAGATGGGGCAGGACCAGGTTTAATAAACAAGGGACATTACTGCTTGTCTGGGTGACTTCAAGACAAGTCGTTTCCAGCTCCTGCCCAGCCAATCTTAAAAGTGAACGTAGAGTCAGTCAGGAGCCCTGGTCTTCTTGATTTCCTCCCCTAGGTCTGGGCCTTTCCTTCCCCCTCCACTTGTTCCATCAGGACCTGCCACAGGTACAGGTGTGGGCCAGGCCGGTTTTCATTGGCTGCTTGTACCTCCGGGCAGGCGGGGGGTCTCCTGGCTGCAGCCTTCATGCCACCCCTTAGCCACCGCAGGGCCTGGTCCCCAGAAGTGCCCTGGGCTCCACAGAGCAGCAGGCGGCCCCAGCCCTGTGAGCCTGCACTTCATTACGGGAAGGTGGGGGCTGCCCAGACCCAGACACCCCTCTGGTGGGGGAGGGGCGGGGGGTGGGGCGGCAGGTGGCGCATCCTTGATCCGTGTCCTGCTACTTATGGCTGACCGTCTTTAGGGGGGCCTGGGCGCCTGGGTGGAGTCTGGGGATGGGGGTGTTACCATTAGGCCAGAACTGGTGACTCCAGGGGCCCCCTTCCGCCAGCCCAGCCCTGAGGCTAAGAGGAAGCCCTGAGTAAGTGAGCGCCTGGCTGGGCACCGGCCCAGCAGCTAATGCTCCATGGGCACCGGCTCGTCAGGACGAGCCCGAGCAACCCCCGGGTCTGTAAGTACAGGGCTGACAATCCGACAAGCCCGTTTCTTGTCAGTTTTAAAAATAGCAGTGTGGGAACCCTGGCAGGCTCCCTGGGAAAGTAATTGGGTTGGTGCGAGGCGAGAAAGCTGTGCTGGGAGCATCCGCTAACGAGTGATTACACCATTTTCCCGCTGCCTTTTCCCAAACCTGGTTCCAGATCTCCCCCTCGGAGGAGCGCTTCGTTAGGGAAACACTTTGCACCTCCCCCATCCTGGCCCGTCTTCCCAGAGCCTTCGCTGCTTCTCCGCCTGTGTAGGACCCGGGGCCGCCCCTTCCCCTTTTCCAGAGTAAACGTTTCCAGGAAGGGAGGGAGGGAAGCCGCAGGAGGCCTTTGGTCTTGGGGATCCCTGAGCACGGAGGCTTCTCCAGCCAGTGTCTTAGAAATGATCCGCCTGATATTACTGCTATTTCTCTCCACCCAATTCCCTTCTTGGGATTGGTGGTGGTGGTGGGATACGCTTTGACTAGCTCTAAATGAGAGAAAAAAATGGAATTAATGTAATTGCTGTTGAGAAAGGATCTTTAACCAGTTAAAGCTCAACTGGGTCCTGTTAATACTCAGAGATTTTCCATCCAGGACCTGCTGGGAAATGGAAGTTGCAACCCTTCCCCAAACGAGGAGATGTTTTGAAATGATTACGGGAGAGCAATATGACGCCAGCCCTACTGAGCTGTGCCTAACTGTAGCTACACGTTTAGCGCAGCACAGTATTTGGGGGGTTTTAAGTGAGATTGATGTCAGTGGATTTGGGTGGCGCGGAACTTCACTCCCAACAGTGAAGAATGGGGTGACCCTGCCCGAGGCTTGGCACCGTGAAGGTTGGGGCACTCCTCAGCCCCACCGGGCATTGGGGCTTAGGGACTGTTCTGAAAAATCTGTTGGGGTCCTAGAATAATAGTAATAATAACAATATTGCTACGGTTCCTTTTGTGTTGTCCACATAAACCAGAAGCAATGCTTTGAGGAAAAGTGTTTAAAAAAATAATTGCCGTCGACAGGAAACAATTGGCGGTTTCTTTCCGTTGGAGGGTCACTTTTTCCGTCTTTTCCTGCGGCTCCCCAGGGCCCCTTTCAGGCTTATTGAATTGCAAATGTCGCTTAGACACCTGATCCGATGCGGGAAGGGCTGGTGGTGGGTGGCCCTTGGGGCTTCCTAGCAGGGGTGGGGTGCCCCAGGAGCAACTGAAGAAAGTCCTAGAGCCTGGGGCCGTTTGGCTTTGGGTTGGTAGTTGCTGAAATATAAACGGGATGAACTTTTTTTTTTGCTGACCCTTTAGGGCAGTGGTTCTCAACCTTCTGGCCCTTTAAATACAGTTCCTCATGTTGTGACCCAACCATAAAATTATTTTCGTTGCTACTTCATAACTGTAATGTTGCTACTGTTATGAATCATAATGTAAATATCTGATATGCAGGATGGTCTTAGGCGACCCCTGTGAAAGGGTCGTTTGACCGCCAAAGGGGTCGCGACCCACAGGTTGAGAACCTCTGCTTTAGCGGGTGCTGGCCAACCCCACTCCTGGGCCTGTGCCACGTGGCTGGCTCCCGAGTCCCCGTGAACCTGCTGCTGGGCGGTCCCAGGCTCCCCTTCCTCTGCTGTGAGGCTGCCCCGGGAAGGTGATCTGTGCCTGGAAACTGACTTCGTTTCCAGGAGACCTGGTTTTCTCTGCAGAAGTGTCCCGTGTCATTTGTGCCTTGATTCCAAAGAGGAGACGGGCTCCCTTAGAACGTCCGAGCTCTGATCAGCTTTCTGGGGCAAACCAGCAGTGGCTCTTTTTATTTGAGTTTTTGCAACTGAGGTAAACGGGGTCTCTGTTTGGTGGAAGGGCCCCGGGCTGGGGCGAGAGCCACGAACTGGCTGAACTCGAGGTGGGAGGGGAGGAGTGATGTGTTAATGAGCTCAGCGATCAGAAGTCACCCGGGTTTTATGTGTTAAGCCCTTTGGGCAAATGGAAGAAATCTTTATTTGCAGCGTGGCTGGGAGCTTTTGCTTCATAAGATCTTCAGCCTTCGGATGATCGGGGTTGTTATCAGTCCGGTTTGGCAGAGAGGACTCATTTAAGAATGTCTGTTATGGTGGGGAATGGTCCTCTTCAGGGCCAGCCTGCAGACACCTGCGTGCCAGGCCCGCGCACCCACCCTGGAAGCGCGTCTCTGCGTCCTGCAGCGGGTCACATGCCAGTGCCTGTGGGCGCGGCACCCCAGGAAGGCCACACGAATAAATAGGAGCAGACAGGCACAGAGCTGATTCTTAACAGAGAGGAGAGGAGTAGCAGCGCATGCTGACCCCCATCTGCACAGCAGGGAGTGCCTGTTGTGTAAATAACAAACCAGGCCTCCCCGGAGGAGAACGGAGCCGGCTCAGGGGTGTCGTTTTCTCCCTCCTTCTTAAGTGACCAGCTTCGTTTTAACGATGCTTGACCTTCGCACCAGTCCTTTCCCCTTTCCGATGGCACAGGGTGAGGGCTGGTGTCTGTGTCATCCCCAAGCCTGGCTCCGTGCTAGGCCGCAGGGAGGGGCTGGCCGGCCTGGGCCAGGCAGGGAACCTACAGAGGTCCTGCCAAAGTGGGGGAGCAGCTCACAGCCCTGCCCGGGGGCCCCACAAAGCTGGCAGGGCCCTCTGTGGACGTCTTGCTTTCCATGAACTGGCTGTGTCTGTGAGCAGAGCGCTAAGGAAGCAAGTCAGGCTGCACTCGGTTCTGTTTTGTAGTGATGTCATGGTTCACTCCCAATCCGTGCTTCACTTGTTTCTTAGGCCAGTGGGTCTTCCTCACTCCTGAGCCTGTTAAACACCAAACTCTTGACCACTCTCCCCCCGCCCCCCCTTGGCTGCTGCATCATAAATGGGGAACCCCAGGAGGTCAGGGTGGTCCTTGCTGCCTCTCTCCTCCACATCCAGTCAGTCATGGAGTCTGAAGGATTCGCCCCGGCCTGGGCCTCGAGCAGGTGTCCGCCCCTCTGTGAGGCCCCCATGAGCCTCGCTGCCCTTTCCCCGCTTGGGTCAGGGGCCACCTTTATAAAGTCTCTCCGAGGCCCCTGCGCCTCCTCTTCACAGTACCCCGCTTTTCAGCTACGCTTCTTGATCTGGTGTAACTTCCCATCTTCTCCCCTGGAAGGTGAACCTGGTGAAGGCAGGGACGGGCTCTGTTTATCATCAATTCTAATACAGAGGAGGTGCTCAGTAATTACTTGTCAGTAAGTGACTTTTAATTAGATCCGGATTAACATTCAAGGAAATGCTGGGCTTGTTTAAGTGGGTGATTCCAGACTAGTGGTTTATTTTAAATTTGGCTGAAAACACATTGACTTGGTCTGTACCGGCGGTTCTCAGACTTGGCACCGTTGGCACTGTGTCTGGGGGGCTGTCGTGTGCCTTGCAGGGTGTGGAGCAGCATCCCTGGCCTGCACCCACTGGATGCCAGGAGCAGCCCCCATTCTGACAACCAGAGGTCTCCAGAGAGTGCCCGTTGTCCCCTGGGGGCGAGGTCGTCCCTAGGTGAGCGTCACTGGTCTGCACACAGGGATCCTTTCCCAGACCCCACCATGCAGGCCCCACTGTACTCACATGGGGCTCGGCCCCCAGTGGACAGGTGGGTGGGTAGAGGGGCTGAGCTCCTGCCAGCCCCCGGGGCCTGAATGGGAGTGTCCCCAGTGAGCGCTGAGTGCAGGCTGAGCTTGGGTGCTGCAGCCTTTGGTAAACAGTGTAATCCTGGCCCCTCCTTGCTGGCCGCCTCCTCCCTGGGCAGTGTTTTCATAACTGTCGGGGACGCCTGGGAGCGTGTTGTGTCCCAAAGGGGAGGAAGATCAATAGGAAACGGACTCTCCGGCAGGACCCTGTAGTAGGCCAGGGAGTGGGAGCGGGTGCAGGTGGCGGGCAGGTGCATCCAAGCTCTGGAAGACCCTGTGGTGGGAACTAGCCGGTTTTGGGTTAGGCGCAGGGCTGCTTGTATTGGAGTCTGCATTCTGGGGGTGGGGGGTCCTCCGCTCGGAGACTTTAGTCTAAAATGCTAACACCAACCAAGGCCCTGGGATCTAGTCTGCAAATCCACAGGCTGCTCCAGGAAGTGACCTTAGACCCGGGGTTGCACACCTTCTTGAAGGGCTAAAGAGTAAATATTTCAGGCTGTGTAGGCTGGAGGGTCTGTGTTGCAACTACTCGTCTCTGCCTGGAGTGTGAATGCAGCCGCAGCCACAGGAATGGGTGAGACTGTCTTCCAGGAAGACGGGCAGGCTGTGGACAACTGTTTGGCAGATTCTCAAAAGGCTAAACATAGAACTATCACATGACCCAACAGTTCACTCCTAGATGTATATCCCAAGTGAAAGCAGGCACTGGAACAGATACTGTGCACCACGCATTCCCAGCAGCATTAGTCACTATGGCCCAGGGGTGGGGAACCTTCTCCTGCCAGGGGCCAGGTGGGTATTTATAGCATCATTCCCAGGCCATACAAAATTACCAACCTAAAAATAAGCCTGCTGTGTTTGGTCAAACATTTAATTAACTCACCCTCAATGCCTTGGCAGGGCCAGACCAAATGATTTCACAGGCCTCATACGGCCCACGGGCCTGATGTTCCCCATCCCTGCAATAGCCAAAAGGTGGAAACAACACAGGTGTCCATCAGTAGGTGAGTGGATAAACGCGATGTGGTGTGTTCCTGCGATGGAATATCATACAGCCTTGGAATATCATACAGCATGTCCCACAACACAGATGGACCTCAATTGAAAGCATTGTGATTAGTGAAACAGGCCCAGTTACTGAAATACTATAAGATTCCACTTCTGTGAGGCCCCGAGAGTAGGCGAACTCCTAGAGCCAGAAAGTAGGGAAGTGGTTGGTGGGGTGGGTGCTGGGAGAAAAGTGTTACATTGAATGGGTGCAAATTTCTTTTGGGGATAATGCAAACGTTTTGCTGTAGATAGTGGTGATAGTTGTACAACATTGCTGCTGTATGTAATGCCTTTGAATTGTACACATATGAATGGTTAAAATGACACAGAGTATATTATGTATATTTTACTATAGATTTAAAAATGGTTGACAAAAAGTGGTTCTCAGGCAGCATTCTGCAGCCCCTGCATTAGACGAATGTGCCATTGATTTAAGTTTGGGGTTGGATTTAGACATAACTGGGCCACCTACATTGTTGGCCTTAACAAAAAAAGAGGTGGGTTAGATTCTTCATGTGGATAATTTGTTACAACTTTCAGTGGAACCTCAACTTCTCCCTCATCCAACAGAAGGGATTCCCAGCATCTACCTCCTCCCCTGGTCCCTGAGCGGGATTTGGCTCCGTGCTGCCTGTGGCTTTTCAGATAATAACCGGGTGTGCTTGGATAGCTGTGGGACTGAAGATCGTGGGCAGCCCAGAATTCAATTGCGCCACATTAAAGTGAGCCACTGGGTGTGTTTTAGTAATTTTGTCAGCTCTGTGGACCGGCTTATCTCTTTGGCCGTGGTGCTTTGTGTTGTGGCCAGGTGACCAGTGTGCGTTGCTCATGCCGTTGACCCTTTGCAGGGAGCGCTTGGAGCTTTTGGAAGAAGCGAAGAAGATGGAGATGGCCAAGTTCCGGTACATCCTGCCTGTGTACGGCATTTGCCGCGACCCCGTTGGCCTGGTCATGGAGTTCATGGAGACGGGCTCCCTGGAGAAGCTGCTGGCCTCCGAGCCGTTGCCGTGGGACCTGCGCTTCCGCATCATCCATGAGACGGCGGTGGGCATGAACTTCCTGCACTGCATGTCCCCACCGCTGCTGCACCTGGACCTCAAGCCCGCAAACATCCTGCTGGACGCGCACTACCACGTCAAGGTAGGGCCTCCCGTGGGTCCTGGGGGGGTGGGGCGGTGAGTGCCGCAAGAGCGCAGGGGAACTCGGGGTTCAGGGGAACCTTCGGGCAGTGTGGACAAGGGTGGACGAGGATGTGGTCCTCATGGAAGAGAGCTTGAGCAGAGAGGCCTCTCAAGCCTGAGGATGTCTGGAATCCCCTTGTCTTGTCATGGTTGGTGTGAGTGGACTCTGAACGCAGGTCACACCCCCAAATCCTGGAACCTGGCTCTAAATTCTGCGCACCCCGGCAAAAGATCATGGATTTGCGGATCTGGTCTTAGTGGATGTCCTAGGAAATGGCCTGAGAGATCAGGCGGGGGGTTGGCCATCTTGGTGTGAGACATAGTTTCGGGCTGTACCCCTCGCTGGTTACAGGGGCTGGCAGAGGGGATGTGGGGTGCTCTGAGATGGAGGTGCAGTCCTGGCATGGGGCTCTGATGGGGCTCATTCTGTTCCAGTGATGTGAGGCCTGTGAGGGCTGCTCTTTCTTATTCTGTTTCTGATAAGTTTATAAAACAAAAGTATGAAGAAGAACAGAACTAAAACGCAGATGCCAGCCACCTGGAGTTGGTAGTCAGGTGCGTTGTCAGGTTGGTGTGTCTGTGAATGTGTCTCTGGTAGGCCTTCGTGTGCTGGGTTCTTCTTGGTTTTTCCCCACATGGGGGTGCTCACCTTCTCGGGGGCCCTTTCCCTTCATCCCGCATGAGGGAGAAGGATTCCATCCACACTGGCCTGAGTCCTCTGGTTCACGCTGGGGCCAGGTGAAGGGACTCGCCTGTGTGCTCTGACACTTGGCTGATCTGCTGCACTCGCAGGACCCCTGCTTGCTGGCCTGAGGAGGAGGGACCCCATTTCAGTCCTGCCCTGCCCCTGGATCCCTCATCTTTCTCACCTGTGACAGGTCAGTGGCACTGGGTGGCCCACACACAAGGCCGCTCCCTGTGCCAGTCTACATAGCAGGCACCTCTCCTGGCTGAGCCAGCCTGAGGCCGTGGGGAAATGCTGTTTTCACTTTGCACACTAATTACAAGTTGTCCCTTAAATAGGTGTCGCTCGTAACAAGGTTTTAGCTGAGGATGGAAGCTGTCCTGTCCTGTTTCCTTGTGGTCAGTGGCGCTGCCTGCACATACAGACATGACAGTTCTCACCAGCGTGTGCGATCCCGTGGGGGCCAGTGCAGATGAAACCTTAGCTCACAAACTTGAGTGCAGACAGGAAAGGGAAGGTGGTGACAGGCCCCCCACTGTGTGCCAGAGGCACTGCCTGCAGGAGCTGCCTCGATGGTCAAAGCGGGGGACCGAGTGGGCGGTGGCCCCCAGCTCCGGCTGAGCTGAGGCTCAGAGGGTTAAATCATGGCCAGGCTCACCCAGCATGGGGTGGGGGCCGAGTCTTCATAGAGCACTAGATTTTCCTGCTGTCAGCAGTGGGGTGCAGGCAGAAGAGCCTTTAGGTGGAGGAAGCAGCCCAGGAAAAATCGGAAATGCTGGGTTTTGGGGGAACAGGAGGAGTAGGGGAGTTGGGGAGGCCTTTCCCTCACCCAGCGTTAATGACTGCTGCGTGGTGTTGTGAGAGAGGCTGCTGGGAACATGCTTTTCTGAGGGCTGGCGGGTGGGCACCAGGCACTCGGACAGATGTGTCTGCAGCAGGTGCCTTTGAGGTAGCCCCAGCGTCACAGGCCCTAACTGGCCTGGCTGGGCTTTCATATCAACCCATTCCCTTCCCACTCTCCTAACAGTCGTGTGGAATGTGTGGGCATCCCTAGACAGCCCCAGTGACACCTTCCTTCCGAGTGCCCTCCCCAGGAGCACAGTCCTCCTCTCCGGCTGTCCCCTGGCGGTGGGGTCATGCCTCCCTGTTGTTGTGAGGGGTCAGTGACAAATGCTTGGCCAGTGGAGGTGCTCATGAGGGTTGGTGTCCTTGGTGTTGGCATTTTGGGGGCCAGGAGATAGTCATCTTCCCACATCTGGGCTGTTGACATATATCTAGGGAGGGTCCCCACGCCAGGTCTACGGCAGGCACCTCATACTGGCTCGGTAAGGAGCTGAGTGTGGTGTCTGCTCTCCGACACCGTGGCCTTGGTGTCCTTGTAGGTCATTTCTGCACTGGCTCTCGCGGGGCCTGTGTGAACTTCCCTCTCTCTCCTTATAAGCACCTGCCAGTTTAATAGGTGAGTGAGGATTCCTTAAAGAGTGGGGCCTTATTAAGGAGCCTAGGATGGCTGAGCCACGAGTGGGGAGGAGCCTGCATGGACCTGTCTCCGTGACAGGGAGCGAGGTGTCGCTGCTGCTTCCACGCCCAGGGCACCCCGAAAGGCCCGAGTGGCAGCTTTTCTGTGACTCCTGCTTAATCAGGCACATTAGTCACCTTGCACAGCCCCAAACAAACAGAAAATGTACTTACATAACTCGCATCTTGCATTCTCAGAAATCGCTAATAGGGTGTGGGAGGGCATGGGGCCTTGTTTGAGGTTCTAAGTCATTGATTGGCCAATTGGGCACTTTGCAGTCGGTGGTAATTTGAAGCAATAAACCTTTATTCTAGAATCCTGAAATGAGATAAGGTGTCAGCCTGCCCTTGGGCCCTGAAGGCGACCTTTTGTCCACAGATAGGGTGATCCGAGCAGGAGATCTCACGGCCGCCATCTGCTTTGCAAAGTGTATTAGAGACAATATTCAATTAATACTTGATAGTAATATTAATGTACTAAATATTAAAATGCTGTCTTTAATGTGTGAGTAGTAGACCCATTTCAAGCTGAAGATGAAATAACTGTTTAAAATCTCAGACTCACCTGTGCCCCAGTTTGCCTAGACAAGACTATATTCCGGGAGATTGCGAGGGCCCTGGTCCCCTTGATCTACAGGGGCCTTTTTCTCTCAGGCAGCACAGCCCTGGCCATGCCCTGAATTGGTCCGGTCCCATTCCCAGGGATGGCCCCAGTACTGCTGTTGAGGAAGCAGGGGGTGGGTGGGGGAGCACAGGCCAGGCAGGCCCTGCAGGGCAGATGGGAAAGGGCTGGAGGGGAGGAGGAGAACTCTGCAGGCGGAGGGTCAATGGCCATCAGGGAATTTTGATTTCTGAGTCTGCATTTTGATGTCAGAGCTTTTAACATAGAATTTATGCTAATTTTCCTTCACCGAGTACATTTAAAGCTGGTGGCTATGTCGGAAAGTGGCAGAAATGAAGGGAAAAGGCTGCCCATGAGGTGGGGCGGTGGGTGCCAAGATGCCGGCATGGCCGTGAGCTGCTTTATGGATCTGCAGGGTTGGGGTGGTGGGTTCATTCTGGGGAACTGGCGCTTTCCTTTCCAGAGTGGGGAGTTTCTTGAAGGCTAGGGAACGGACAGCTGCCAGGGGCCCAGAAGTGCCCAGGCTGGCTTCCCTGGTGGACCCATGCCTGGCACAGCCTGGCCACAGAAGCCGGGGCGGGTCCACTCTGGCAGGCTTTCTTCCCATCACCTCCCTGCAGAGGTGGTTAGAGGCCCCTGAAGGATTGGGCCGCCAGTCCTGGCTTCTCCCTGCCTTCAGCGGTGATGATGACATCGGGACATTGGCTCACCCGTGAGCTGGCACAGTGAGCCCAGAGTTAAGTCCTGGCTCAGCCCCAGTTCCTGTCGCTCCACAGGAGTGTTTGAGGAGGAGCCTAGAGCTGATTGGGAGGCTTAAGGAATCCATAAGCCTCGAAGGAGAATATAAAGGGGCTGTTTTCCATGTGGATTCTGAGCCCCTTAATGCCAGCGCCTGTGGCCTAGTCCCACACACAGCGCTTCTGTGGCTTCCAAGGATGTGGGGGCGTGTGGGGGGGGGCGGGCCTGAGGGGCAGCGAGGATCCCCCTATGAGTCTGTGTGGCTTTCACTTCCTCCAGTGGGGGGTCTGGGAGCTGTCAGGACACCTTTGTGCAAAGGAGATGAGGAGGTGGAGGTGGGCTGAGTGGCTGGGCTCCAGGCGCCCCTCCAGGCTGGTAGCCCCTGGGACGGAGGAGATGTGTTTCCACCCTTGATTTGGGTGCCATGTTTAGTGGAGGAGTCAGCAAGTGTCTGTTGATCAGAGAACGTTCCAGGTGGAGGACGAGGTTGTGTGGTGTGTGTTTTGCTGGCTTTAAAGGGCTTCTGAAGGTGCAGTTCCCTTTAAAGAGCCTGCTGCCACTTGCCCGCCTGCCCAGCTGGCCCGGTTGCGGAACTGGATTGCTGAGCACCAACCTGGTCAGCCTCGCTTTCATGTGTCGTCTGAAAACCCGGAAACGCTAAGCGTTGCCTTTTGCCCTCATGCCAACGTGGGCTGTGGACAGAGGCAGGTGACAGTTCTGGTTTCTTGCTCCCGGTGAATTCCTTCCTTAAAGCGTCACTTCCCCCATCCATCAGCTCCTAATGCCTTCAGACTGGTCTTCCTAAGCCTCCGTGCTCGCCTGCCCGCCTGCCCCGGGAGACGGGTCATGGCTCGCTCTCGGGTGTCGGGGACCCGTACCGTCAGACATGGCGGGATGTTGACCAGGCCTCTGAAGTGGTAGCCGCAGTGCGGTGCCCGGCACAGCGCCCCGGCGCCTGCTGAGCCGCCTCTGCCCGCTCTGTTGCAGATTTCTGACTTTGGGCTGGCCAAGTGCAACGGGCTGTCCCACTCACACGACCTCAGCATGGACGGCCTGTTCGGGACCATCGCCTACCTGCCTCCAGAGCGTATCCGAGAGAAGAGCCGGCTCTTTGACACCAAGCACGACGTGTACAGGTGTGTACAGCTGTGCAGCCCGCAGGGTCTCTCTACCCCAATTCTTCATGCTCTGAAGGGCAGTTTTCCCAGACTCTTTGCCACCATCAGATACGAGGTTCAGTCTAAATGAAAGGGTTTGGGGTTGTTAGCCGGTGGGTATAGGCTGCCCCAGGTATACAGACTCTCCTAGGAACACAGGATGTGCCTGTTGCTGGCCATGGGTGGAGGATGTGAATGGTTGGTGCCATTAGGGCCAGTTACATAACAGACTGACGACTTCCGCACTGTAAACTGGCTTTAAACCGCGGGTCGTGTATCTTGTCTGTGGAAAGAAGCTGCTGCTTTAAGTGTCTGTGATTCAGGCTCTCCTACGCCCCGTCCCCTGGGGCCCAGCAGCCTGTACCTCCTGTCGTCACTTACCTTCGACAGGAGCACAGACAGCCGCAGCCTGTTTGTAGGTGAGCGTCAGTGCGTTGTGCACTAGAGCAGCGATTTTCAGCCTTTCTCCTCCCATGGCACAGACACTCATTACTAGAATTCTGCGGCACACCAAAAAATAGATTTTTTTGCCAATCTGACAAAAAATAGGTATAATTTTGATTCATTCACACCGAATGGCTATTGTTGCATTGGCTGTTGTTATTTCTTAATTTGACCATCAAAGGAAGAAGAGGTCAGTGTCCCTGACCAAATAGGCAGGCACTGCATGTTTTAAACATTCTTGTGCACACAGGTCCCGAGTCGTTCGGGCCTTCCTTTTCCAAATTGTAAAGGTCCTGATGACCAAGATTCTGGGAGGAGAAAAGAGGGAGGGAGGCTGCACGCAGGCCCTTAAGCCCCTCATTGTGGCTGTTGTCTGACGCAAGGGGACTGTGGCCCTGAGCCCCGGAGGGAGCACGGAGCTTTCCCTTTTGTCCCTGTCCCTGCCTGAGTCCTGGCGGACTGGTTTGACAATAAAACCATTGTGCGTGTGCTGAGTAGGCTTGGAGCTGCAGGCTGCTGGCGAATGGCACTGGGGTGCTTGTCACAGCTTGCAGGGTTCAGGGGAATCCGATTATTTATGTTGGAGCGGAGAGTTTAAAAGCCTGAATGCATAAATTTTCATTAATATTCAATGGAGACTTCTTGTCAACAGCTGCTGTCAACTCAGGGCAGGGTGGGGCTCAGTGTTTGGACTCCTGTTTTTTTTATATTTTACTAGAGGCCTGGTGCATGAAATTCGGGATCCCTGTGGGATTGGGCCTAAACTGGCAGTCAGACATCCCTCTCACAGTACGGGACCGCTGGCTCCTAACCGCTCGCCTGCCTGTCTGCCTCATCACCCCTAACCACTCTGCCTGCCTGCCTCATTGCCCCTAACCACTCACCTGCCTGCCTGATGGCCCCAACCACTCACCTGCCTGCCTCATCGCCCCTAACTGCTTGCCTGCCTGCCTACCTGGTCACCCCTAACCACTC